TATATATATATATATATATATATATATATATGGCATTTTAAACCCTTCCCACACTCTTGCAATATTCTAAACATAGTTTCTAAATGCTCTAAAGGAGCACAGAATGTCATGATTTCAGCTCGCTGCCTCTATTTCACTATGCCACCTGTCGCGCTCTCGGCCACGCCCACTTCCTCACTGCAGATGGAGATCATGACACACTGCAGGAGGAAGTTTTTTCCTTCAGCTGTAGACGGCACATAGGTGCTAAGTAATTTAAAATGATTTATTTTAAATAAACATTCCATGCCGATCATGCAGCTCATCAATCAGCCAATTGCGTCATGTCCAATCTTACGTTGAAAAACTGCGATAGAGCGAGTCAATGAAAAACGAACCGTGAAGTAGCGAGGGACTGCTGTACTACTACTACTGTACTTTATTATTGTTATTATTTCTACTACTACTACTACTACTACTAGGCCTGATGCAATAAACAATAAATCAATTAATCACATGATAAATGAAGATTATCAACCTCATTTTCATTTATCGGTTTTATTGTTTCTTCGTGTCTCTTCTGTTTTTCTCTGCCAAAAATATAAAGCTAAGAACATTTTTACTGATTTTATTTTAAAAGAACTGTGTGAAAAATGCTATGCTAAAGAGCTCAAACCACATCGTGCGTCCGTCATTTTGAGAACCGAAAAAAATTAAGGAGAGACAGCCTATGTCACATCAAGGGGCCTCCCTCCCATTTTTCTTAAAGAGACACACTGCTCGATCTCTCACTATCCATCCTCTGTTTCAAACGGTCTTATTCTGCCATCTGGTAGTCAAAAAAAGGCACTACAATCAAAACAAATTAAACAAAATTTATTCTTAAATTCAACAATAATTACTAACTAATGTCAAATTTCAAACATTTTTATCGTTTATCGCAATAATTTCTGAGACAATTAATCGCCAAGCAAAAAAATGTGTTATCATGACAGGTTACTGTCATGACTACTACTATACTTGATTATTATTACAACTGCTGCTACTACTCCTACTACTACTACTACACTTTATTTATTGGTATTCACAGTTCTTCATGATAGTTTTCCTTTCTTAAAGGAAAAGTTTGACAATTTAAGAAATGCACATTTTAGGTTTGGATACAAGGATACACTCAGCATCCTGTTTGCCACAAAAATAAAAGCAGAAGAATAATTTGAATCTCTGCAATGAATCGGGATTCTTTCATTAAAGCAAAATCTTTTGTGCTAGAAAATATTTGGGCTACACAAAGTAATTAAAAATGTTTATTTAACAGATGCTGTTGGTCAATTATGGGCAGAACTAAATCAGCTTTCTCTTTGATTTCCATCTTTATGCTAAGATAGACCATAAAACAGTAAGAATCTTCTTAGTGTTGCTTCAAAATTAATCCAAAGACAGAGTTTTGCCAATAAGTTAATTTAGCACCTTACAAAAAACGTATTAAGTGCTAAAATATGTTGTTACATCCTCCTAAACATATTGTTCTTAACAGAAAACCTATTACTACAAAAATGAAGAACCAAGCAGTTACAATGTGTTTTCCTTCTTGCAGGGTTTTGTCCTCCAGGTTCCATGCTTTGTGAAAAAGGCAACTGTTTCACACCAGAGCAGAGCTGTGACTTCACAGATGATTGTGGAGACGGCACGGATGAAAAGGACTGCGGGACGACCTGCTCTTTTGAGAACGGTCGATGTGGCTGGAAGACCTCGCTGGCTGATAATTTTGACTGGACGCTTGGCACCGGATCGGTCCAAGGCATACGACCTCCATACGATCACACCCTGATGAATGAAAACGGTATGAGTCGATAAAATTGCATTGAAAAGTACAGCGGATTGCTAGTTTTTACTTCAGATATATTTTAAATTTGGTTTTGAAACCAAAGTCTTTTTGTTGTACTTCTTCTTTGACCTGAATAACCAAATACTTCAGGTTGATTTTCCAGATGGAAATGAAAGCACTCTGATTGAACGGTCTCTCCTTCTAGAGTGAGACTGCAGTTGTAGCTCTAAAATGTTTAATTCAGGCTAAATCAATGAGCTATAGTATTTGAATGAACAGCAGCTGAGAATGTCAGTTTTTGATGCAGGGCTGAAATCCCATTAAACAAGACACTGGATTTATATACCAGTACATGAACAAAGAAGCACAAATGTAAATTAGTTTGCAAAGACAAACATCTGTAATACTACTGCATCTGCACAGCAAACATTTCTAATCCAACTAAGTAAATTTGATTTCTATAGCACGTTCATTGACAGAACATCACAAAGCGCTTCACAGGAAACAAAACAATTAAAAACGGAAAAACAAACTAGGTTAAAGCCTGTCTAAATGAAAATGCCTTTAGATGTTTCTTAAAAGAGCCAATGGAGTTTGAACAGTAAAGGGACAGTGGAAGAGCACTCCAAAGCCTCGGGGCCACCACCCGAGTCGCTCGGTCTCTGCGGGTTTTGAAACAAGTACATGGCAGCATCAAGGGTATTTAATTTGAAGACATTAGAGTCCTGGAGGGAGATAAAGTAGAGGGTACAAAAGGTCCAAAATGTATCTGGGGGGCCTGACCATGAAGTGCTCTGAAGGTTAGGATCAAAATTTTTAAATTACTCCTGAAATGCACAGGTAGACAGTTCAGAGAGGCCAACATAGAAGTAAAATGAGCCTTTCTGTTGGTCTAAGTTAATAACCTCGCTGCAGCGATCTGCACAGACTGAAGACGAGACAGTTTAAACAAGTAAAAAGACTGTTACGGTAACCCAACCGGGTGGATATTAAAGCATGGATAATCCTCTCTTGTTAAGTCTGAGACAAAAATGATCTCAGCTTGGAAATGTTTCTTAGATGATAAAAATAGGAACTAGTGGTTTCAATTCAATTTCAGTTCAGTTGATTTCTATAGCGCCAAGTCACAACAGAAGTCGTCTCAGGGAACTGAACAGAAACATTCATATATGAAAATAATGTTAACAGAAACATTCATATTTAAAAATAATAATCTAACATTATTTATCTGAGGAGACTGCTTTGAATTTAACTCCATCACAGAACTCTCATCTTGAGCAAACATGAGGGTGACAGTGGAAAAGAAAAACTCCCTTATGAGGAAGAAACCTTTAGCAGAACCAGGCTCAGGACAAGCGGCCATCTGCTTCGACCGGCTGGGTTTGGGAGGAACAGATACACAATGGCAGGTCAAGAATGTTAAAACATGAAATAATATCAAATGAAAACTGATCAATTTTAGCAATTTATTTAGGGAAATTAGGTCAATTTGTCCTCCAGTAGTCTAAGCCTATAGCAGCATAACAAGCCAACCCTAAGTATAGGATTTATCAAAAAGGAAAGTTTTAAACCCAGTCTTAAAACTGGACAATGTGTCAGCCTTACATACAGAATCTGGAAGTTGGTTCCACAAGAGAGGAGCCTGATAACTGAAAGATCTTCCTCCCATTCTCCTTTGGAAACTCTAGGGACCGCGAGTAAGCCTGCAGTCTGAGAGCGAAGTGCTCTGTTAGGAAAATATGGAACAATAAGCTCTCAAATAAAAGATGGAGCTAGGTTGTTGAGAGCTTTGTAGGTTATAAGTAAGATTTTGAATTCAATTCTGGATTTGACAGGGAGCCAGTGGAGAGAAGATAAAACTGGAGAGATATGATCTCTCCTATAGCTCCAGTTAAGACTCTGGCAGCAGCATTTTGAATTAACTGAAGACGTTTTAAAGAAGTATTTGGACACCCAGCTAACAAACATTTGCAATAGTCCAGTCTAGACGTGACAAATGCATGAACCAGTTAGTGTTTTATAGTGATTGTTAAAAGACCACGAGCTGTCAAAGATGACTCACAGATTTCCAGCGGTGGAGAAAGTACTCAAACACTGTACTTAAGTAAAAGTACAAATAAACAGACAAAAATGTACTCTAGTAAAGTAGAAGTACCACATTAACATTTTTACTTAAGTAAAAGTAAATAAGTACTTGCTTTTAAAATACTTAAAGTATTAAAAGTAAAAGTACCTGTACTTGCTGAATGTATTACCTAATGTAATGGTCTACATATCTTTAAGTCTGCCTAACATATGTATATTTTCTGTAATACATTAATAGTGTTGTGTCATTTTAATGAAAAATGCTGCAGATTATACATGTTTTTATTGTGTTTACTCTGTGACACAGTTCACACTTGGACTTGTGATTCTGTGCATCAGAATTTCAGGGATGACCTGTAGAGTTAAATGCCATTAATCAAAATAAGAAAGAGGAATGATTATACCTTTGAAAGTTTTTATTTAACACAAATCAAAACCCATGTGTCCTTTTAACTGCAGTAAAAACATTTAAATAAAAGTTGTCTGCCTGAAAAAAGGAGCATTAGACACAACTAACAAAGGAACAGGCTCTGATCATTTCCACTGATATTTCATTTCCAGTTTGTCATCAACTCTAGTTAAAATACTGTCTATTCAACCTTGTAATGGGTCAATATTGAACAATATTTTAACTTCCTGACACCATTTTTAAAACTTGGACCCGAGTGTCGAGACATTTGGAGACACCTCTTGTCTCCTAACATCATGAACTGACACATTTTAATGTTGCAGCAAGAATTTCTTGTTCAAGTTCAGAAGAAGTTGGTTTTCAAATATTTTTGAGTCCAGTCTGGCTCTTTTGGGAGAGAGAATCTGTCCTGTTGTACTGAGTCTTTCAATAAGGCCATGGGTGGGGCATATCTTCTGGCTGACTCTCTTGTGGTGGAATACATTTTGGGTGTGTTAGTGGTGCTGCAGGTGCACCCAGCTCAGTGACATATATATTAGAATATATGTCAATGACCCAGCTCTTGTTGAAGGCGGGTCTAACGTTACCTGCCCACGTTGCAGTGATTCACTGGACCAGCTCCCCTCTCCCCATTGGTTACTTTCAAAGTAACAAACGAATCAAAAAGCCACAACATGAATGTAACTTGTAATGCAACACATTATAGAAATGTAGTGTAGTAGAAAGTACAGATACTTGATGTAAAATGTAGTGAAGTAAAAGTATAAAGTACCCACATTTAGCTCTACTTAAGTAAAGTACAGATACACGAAAAATGTACTTAAGTACAGTAACGAAGTATTTGTACTTAGTTACATCCCACCACTGCAGATTTCTAAGATTGCATTTCACAGTAAGAGTTAAGGAAGATGCTGCCTGAATAAAGGATTTTTTTTTCATCAGGGGCAATAATAAGAGATGCAGTCAATTCAACTGGTCATGTTATCAGCAAGAAATATTATTAATAGTTGAATATCTCATAAATAAGTTAATAACAATCTTATCTGTGAGCTGGAAGATCTGTTTAAGAAGAAGCATGGCTAACTAACATTTTCCTTCAAAATATGTCAAACAGACTTGAACTGCTTCACAAAATGTTCTTTCTATCTATCTATCTATCTATCTATCTACAGTATATCTATCTATTCTAGCTTATTATAATTACCATTTGCCACACAGTGAATGCATGGTAGCATTACTGACTGACATCAGGTAAGTCTATGGTTTGAGTCTCAGCAGTGCAGGGTTTTTATGTGGATCTTGTCTCCTAATACCTTCATTTATTTTTATTCTCTGGAAAATCGATGGGATGGAATAAATAACCAAAGCAGCCGCTAGGAGTCAACAACTATCGGTTATCAATCTCGGATGATTCTGGTTTCATCATCCCTTATGGATTACTTTCACATTACAAAAATGCACCCGTGATGCCCCATCAAGCTGTATGGTCAGGACTAAGAAAGACTTTGGCTCTTGAAAGGAGGAAGTCTGTGAAATTAATGCATATATATTTCTTAACAAAACACTGACTAGATATTATGCAAATGCTACATGTAAAGAATATTTTAAGAATAAAGACACTCTCCCTATAGATTCGTATTCAGACACATTCTTAAATTTCTCTCACTTTGGGGAATTTGTCTTAACTGAACCTGAAGTGCTCCCCTGTGTCAAAAGGCGTGACACATAAAATGACATGTCAGAGATTACTCAGTGACCCCTGACCCTCACTTCCCCACCATACTCTGCTTCACCTTGCTGTAACTTGTCAGTGGTTGTCAAAACAGAAAGAGAATAAAAATTAAAATAAACCACATCTCTCGTTTTCTGCCCCTGTAGGTCACTTTGTTTATCTGGAAGCAACGCCACTGGGACTAAAAGGTGATAAAGCTCATATCAGGAGCTCTGTTTGGAAAGAGTCCAGCACCCTCTGTAAACTCTCCTTCTGGTACTACATTTCCCAAAAGGCCTCGGGGACCATCCGGCTGCTGATCAAGGTAAAACAGTTTTCATTCAGATTTGGTGGAAATCTGCACAGCAATGATAAAAATGACATATTTCAACCAATCACAGTTCGTTAGCACCACTCCTCTCTGTCAATCATTGTTGCTATGGTTACGTTTGGTCAGAGATAAGCCGGGCTATCTTCAATTATGTTAATATTCACAGACGTACCATCGCATCAGCTTTGCTGCTTGAGGTTTTTACTCATTTGATGGAATGCGAAAAAGAAGCTGCATTTTTCAGCAGATTTGTTGTCTGTGGGGGGGCTGTGGAAGAGAATGGGGGTCATGGTCACCCCTTGGTGCAGGGTGGCCACACCCCACCATCTGGATAAAGTGCATTCCTGCCAGATTTCAAGGCTTTAATGCTTGTAAGACTAACTTTGTATATGTTTGGCCTAAGGCTTTAAACACAACTTTTAGCCTTTTAGATTCTGCAGTTTTCACTCTGCCTGCACCCAGTCTGTTTTTTCTCAACTTCATTTAACTCTGCCAGGGTGACTGGAGGTCAAGGTGTAGGTGTTAAATCATTCCTTCTTGTGGGTAAACGATATTCTTGAATGTGCAACTGTAAGATGATCAATGTATATTTTAGGAAGAAGAAAATGATAATTTATATGAAAAACATATCCTCAGTTTTGTTATTTTGCAGCACTTGTTTGTACAGGTGTTGCATGGATTCACGCACATTTTAATTTAGTCATCACATAAACATTCTATCCTATTGCTCCTAACTTTAATCCCATTTCAGAAAGATTCATAAAAATGTAAATAATGGAGTTTTAGGAGTATTTAAATCAGTCGCTGTGGCTCTGATTGATTATGTGACTGAGAAGCAGGAGATGATTAATGTCTGTGGGCTGTTTTAAATGCAAGTAAAATGGAAAATTTGACCTCACATTAAAGGTTGGACTATGAACATTGATGAACAGTCAGTGAATCCCACACAAATACAGAGAGTGGAAAGCTGGAAATCACCAGAGATTAAATTGGAACAGTGTTTGTGTGCAAGAGAGAAAGACAAATGTTTATACTCTTATAGTTGATATTAGTTGCATGCACGACCTTGCAGGTTTAAAGACATTAACACTTGATGTTGATATTGCACTTTTATAGCTTTGATATATGCTATTCTCAAATCAGCTGCACAAATACAAACATGTGCACACATTTGCAAGGACAAGACTGCAAACACACACACTTTCAGAGCCTGTAGTGTAATTTGAGAGGTCTTGTTTACCTGGCAGGGGTGAACCAGACCTTTTTATATCACCAGCCGTCATTATTGTTTAGACATGTTTGCCAGTCACTGTTTTCTGTGCTGGGAAATTATGCAACTGAGTTAAGAGAGGAGTTTCAGACTAAATTAATTAATTTGTATGTTTTTAGAAATTCAAACTTGGAACAGAGGAAATCCTTAGGTGGGTTTCAACGGTCTGTGAATTGACTGTTATTGTTGTCTGTACTTTATATGTTCTGTCTGGAACAGGTCCTTTTTGTAAATGAGTCCTTGTGGCTCAATGAGACTAGCCTGTATAACTAAAGTTGTATGAATGAAGGAGTGAATAACTGAGCAAACCATTCAGCCACAATAATGTTCTTATACATAAGTACAAATTTAGATTGCAACTGATCATTTTAACTATTTTTAATCATTATTAAGGTTTGATGTTTCATAAAAGATCATGACATGGATAATGGGTTTTGGGTTTTGTATGTAGGGCTGGAGGTGGAAGGGTTCCTTTCATGCATGGCCCACTGCAGGGAAGGCCTGTCAAAAGGCCTGAACAAAAAAGGTATTAGAAACTATACATAAGAGATACTGATCAAGTGAGTATGGTGGTCCAAAAATGTGGTATGTACTAGGGTTTAACAATTAATTGCATTTGCAATAATATTGTGATATGATAAAATGAGATTTTCTAATTGCAAAAGCTACAATTTGACTGGTGACGTGATCTGGTTCTGTGACTTGCGAGTGAGTGGAGCAAAGCAGAGCAGGGAGTGGGAGAAGCCAACACTGCGCTTTAGCCAGTTGCACAATGGTGCCAGGCTCGACAGAAGCTGATACATCGGAAAGTTTGGTACCAAAGAGGGGCAGCACGTCCGTTGTTTGAAAAAAGAAGACGCTGAGCAACGACATGTATTGTGCAGAACCTGCCTTGTTGCTGTTGCTACCTCTCGAGGTAACACCAAAAATCTTTATCTACACTTAAAAAAACACCACAAAGCTATTTACCATAGTTGCATGACTAGAATGCCAACAACCAGTGCTTCAACTTCAAGTAAGCAAAGTACCAGCCAGCAGGGATCATTGGCCGAACTGTTCGAAGATATTACTCCGTATGAACATAATTTGAAACGGCACATGGAAATAGCTCAAACAATAATGGAGTTTATAGTGAAAGACATGATGCCCATTAATATAGTGACCAAGCCTGGGTTTACAGCGTTTGTAAACACAATGGATAAGTGGTACAGAATGCCCTCGAACACAGTTTAGCCAAGTTGATATCCCAGAGCTACAGAAAAAAATGTAGAAACAGAGTTGCATCAGAGCTGAAAACAGTGGAGTATTTTGCAACTGAAACAGATTGATTGCTTGTGTTCGTTGAAAAATACATGAGAAGAAGACACTGGAAAATAATCGCATATTAAATCTCAATACTGAGGTAAAAAATTTGCAATTAGAATATTTTCCAAAATCGTTCAGCCCTAGTATGTACAAAGGGTCTACGCTCCTGATCACATGTGCAAATTGTTTGCTAGTGCAGTAAAAACAGACACAAATCACTATTTGCTAATATTGCAACACCATGTCTCTGTTATAAGATACTTCTTCCAGTTTGATGCAAAATTACACATTTTACTACACAGGGTTACGCTGGAGAGGTTTTTAAAGTTGTAAAATGACAATGATTGGTTGACAGCATTAACAAAAGATCCAAATTGCAGTATGAATAAGCAAAAGCAATAATTCTAATAAGCATACAACAACACAAGACACATGTTCGTCACTACATACTGTATGTACTATATAAGTTTTGGGCCTGTGACTGCTCCTTAATCACTCTAACACTTGAGCCAAATGCTCTATCTGGTCTCTTTGAAAATAGAAATCTCTGCCTTCCATAATACCATTCTGACATGTTTTCATTATACAGCATGAGAAACTCAAATTTTAAATATATATGATACTATTTTGTTACATTACACTGCTTATCTGCTTTGTAAAAAAAAAAACTGTTTTGAATCTGTCCACTGTTGTGATGATGACATGCATGTTCACATAATTACCAACATACTGCTTGGTTTTGTGGGTTCAAATGCAGCCTTGAATTATAGTAAACCAAACATCTGCCGCTGAGCCACAGAAACCATGTTTTACCCACGTTAAATGTGGCACAACTCCACGCTAATTATTCGAGCATGTTTTGGATTTAAAGCAAAAATTGAACACAAAACTTTTCTCTGCCTTTTAGTCTTTTTTTATGAAGCAGAGGGGCAGATGATGCTTTCTGATTTGAAGGGGAGTTAACAGAAAATAAACTGATGCCAGCCGTCCCATAAAACAAAAAAAAAAGGCCATGAATATAAATTGGATTTTAACGTCGCAGTTAAGACATTTGGGGATTTAAAATTTAAATAAAAATATAATTTTTATGTGATTACAACTTTGTTTTTGTACCATTTTGACATTTACCAGGGAGCAGAGAAATTATCAAATGTATTTGCAAACTTCCCTCTGAGCAAACCGATTTTGCACTCACTTTGCCCTGACTGCAAACTCAGAGGATATGGCTTCAAACTGATCAAATAAATGCCCCGACTGATATGCCGAACGGACGATAACTGAGAGCTACGTGTGTCTGTATCACATATACACGTCTGTTGCTTTTATAGATGGAGCCTTTACTCCATGACATAAATCTCGATAAGTCCTGCCTTAACGCTGACTATTAATCTGCGCTCTACTCCCAGTGTAACAAGATTATTTCACGTCGAGGCTCCACAAGCAGAGGAGACAGCCTGTGCTAGTCTCACCCAAGGGTGCATTTTAATAGGCTTTCAAACTGCAGAGAAGAATGTGACTTTGCCTGTCCTCTGGTTTTTCTGCACATTAGAGCAAAAGTCATCTTATTGCTGTTGAGCCTCTGGTCATCTGCTGCAACTTTAAATACACCAAGTTAAATATTTTATATCCCGCAAACTTAAACTTGTGTTTGACATGTGTTCATCTGCAGTGGCCCCACAGATTCACTCTGATGGAAATAATTCTGACCCAAAATTTAATTCTTCTCAATTAAAACATAATTCCTACACGTATTTGGTCATCTTGGCAAGAAACGGTGAAAGATGGGGCTTGATTACAGCTACTGTAAAAAATGGCAGACTCGTGAACGTCAGGTTGGGCTGTGAAAGTCCTACATTCCACTGTTGCACTGACTGTGGTTTAACCGGGCATGGGCTCTTCCTCTGACTGGAAGCTTTGGTTTGGAACTATTGCTCCAGTCACTTCAAGACTTTTTTGCTAGCAGCAGTTTCAGTAGAGACTGTAATTATTAGAGACAAGAATGTCTGCTGTTATTTGTGCATTTGAGAAGGCACAATCATTTGTACTAGTGTTGTGTTCAAGTCCACACCTAACCCAAGACCAAATCAAGACCAAGACCAGAGTGTACAGAGACCGAGACAAGACCAAGATTTTTCGGGTCTGAGACCAAGTCGAGACCAAGACCAAGGGAGGGTCGAGACCGAGACCAGAGTGTACCGAGACAAGACCAAGACTTTTCGGGTCCGAGACCAAGTCGAGATCAAGACTGAGAGAGGGCGAGACCAAGCCAAGACCAAGACCTCAAATAAAATAAATAAATATAAAATTTTATTATAAAATATTTTTTATAAAAGCTACATACTGCAACGTTAAGTTTTCTTTTGAATGAATACATCAGCTTTTAAACATTTTCAAAGCTACATAACAAAGAAATCAGACATTCAGTGGCCTAACTGCATGTGATTCAACAATAAAATTACACAACTTTTAAATTGGAAGCAGTTTCATCACATTCCAAGTCTTAAAAAACTGCAGTGGCAAAACACTTTTCATAAGTCCGAACTCAAGACCAAGGATAACCATGTACTGTAGTTACATTAGTTACAAGTACATTATTTGTCATCTAAATAGGCAAATTTTATAACTGATGATATGGCAGACATCTTCTCCCGCGACCAGACAATCACTTTCTCATTTTCTTGGAGTGACCAGTGTTGCCAGATAGAGTCGAGGTTTTCCAGCCCAAAAATCTGTTAAAAACCGCCACATCACACAAAAATTCACCCATTCAATATATTGTCAGAGTCAGAGATTTTTTATTGTCATTCGCACCTCATGTGGTACATGTGGTGGAGCGAAATTATGTACACAGGGTCCCAGTTACATCCAACAATAAAATGTAAAAGAAAAACAATGATAACATCCAAGATATGAACTAAGAAAAACATCAACTAAATATACACTAAGCACTAATAGCATAAAAACATCACATCGAACATCAGCACAAACCTGAACACGAGTCCGTGTAAGCAGACGAGCACGCATGAACACACCAAAATTGAAACAGATCAGCAGTGGCATTGAAACAGATCAGCAGCAACATGAAACAGATCAGCAGCAACATGATGTGATTTTTCACAGTGATTATTCTGGTTAGAGATTCATGAGTCTAACAGCCTCAGGGTAGAAGCTGTTCCTCAGTCTAGTGGTTCTACACTTAATGCTCCTCAACCTCCTTCCTGAGGGGAGCGAGGCAAAAAGTGTGTGTGCTGGATGAGTGGGGTCCTTCATGATGCAGGTGGCTCTCTTCCTGCATCTAGAGGTGTAAATGTCTGTGATGGTGGGGAGACTGACTCCAACAGACTTCTGTGCAGCCTTCACCACTCTCTGCAAAGCTTTTCTTTCTGCAGCTGTGCAGCCTCCATGCCACACGTTGATGCTGGAGCACAGGATGCTCTCCACTGCACACCTGTAGAAGGAGGTGAGGACTGAGCTTCCCAGACCAGCTTGTCTCAGCCGCCTGAGGAAGTAGAGTCTCTGATGAGCTTTCTTGATCAGGCTGGTAGTGTTGTTGCTCCAGCTGAGGTTGTCATTCATGTGTACACCCAAGTACTTGTAGCTGTATATTGTTACCGTATATTTACTGTTTGAACATGAACACACATCCGTACAAGCCAAGGTAATTTAAGAATATGTGGCAAAATGCAACAATCCAACAAAAATCTTCCTAGAGTTCCCAGCAAAATCGGAATGAAAACTGCCCAATTGGCAGTAAACCGCCCAATCTGGCCACACTGGGAGTGACCCGTGCAAGTGAAAGGGGGTGGGCGTGACAGCGGTAACAAAAAGTGCATTTAGCAATGAGTCACGTTATCACTTGGAGTTGAGCCAGTACATTTTGCATCCAATAAAAACAAAGATGTTAACAAATAAACTGGACAATATTCGGGTAATTTAGTGATATTTCCACAGTTGGGGTCTTGACTGGTCTTGAAATAAAATCCCGAGTCCTCGATGTCCGAGACCGAGACAAGACAAGACCAAATGCGGTCATGTCCGAGACAAGACCAAGACCATCAAAAAGTGGTCTTGAGACCGGTCTTAAGACCAAGAGCTGTCTCGAGTACTACAACACTAATTTGTACCCCATCACTGACAACTTAACTGCAGTAAAAGAGAAAAAATAAATTTAAGGTGAATGTGAAATAAGTGATGGAGACCACCTTTGTCAAAATACATTTGGTTTGAATGGCTTGTGGTCCTTTTCCTGTTTATAGGAGGACAGCAGAAAATATCCATGGTAGTAAGTGTAGAGAGTTGTTGGATAGGCATGAAGCCCATTCAAGAATCAAAAACGTGCATTGCTATCATAGTCATTATGCCTCACTAGAAACATTTCAAGGGTTTCGTCATGGTGAGATTGAAAGTATGAGAATCTGTGTTCTGTCATTTCTTTAGATTCTTGTACTTGTGTTTCCTGCCTTCCCCAGTGTTTCTTCCTGTCAGCTCCTGCTTCACCAGCTCCCGGTCCCTATCACCCCAGGTGTTCATCATTGTGTCTCGTTAGTGTCCCTTTCAGGTTAACGTCTTTGCGTTTCCTCCTTGTCTGTGCATTGTGCTTTCCACAACCACCGTGCTCTTGTTTCCTCCATGTCTCCCTGATCCTGTATTACAAGTTTTGCTCCCACGCCAGCTTTTTGTTTTTGGGTCTTTGTTTAATAAATGCTTATCCTTTTTTTATCCTTGAGTTCCCTGTGTCTGTCTGCACCCTGGGTTCAACACTACGCAGATAGTGAAAGAAAGTAAACATGGTACAGACCCTTTAAATACCCCTATCATCCAACAAGAGAGGACACCTCTAAAAATTACTTAGTTCATGCTCTTTATGTTGATTTGTATTTCTCAAATCTGTGCATTTGTGACTTTTTAGCACCCCTTTTACAAATATGTTGCATTGTGGTCCTTTTCTGTTTCATAAACTTATATTAGTGTCACTGCTGTTATACTTCTAGGACCTCAGTGGTTTGTATAAGGTCAGGTCTTTGATCAAAGCCAAATCCTTCTTGGCTGATGTGAGTCATCCATTCAGAAATTACTTTTATTATACATACATCAGGACAAAGGTATATTCATGCCATGACTCAGAATGTAATGGTTCAAGAAGCCTTGTATGCCCTTTGCCATCAGCCTTTTAAATGCCAGTACGTAACCATTAAGGTGTTTTGTATGTGTTGTTTATTTATGCTCTATGTTCTACCTCCAGCTGTAAACTTAATTGATCCATGGGGATGATAACGTTACTTTGAACTAGTTGGTTCTTAATTGCATTAAAATGGCATTCATTTGTGTTGCTTTTTCCACATTTTTGTTTCTTTTCAGTTTGTGACTCCATTGATTCTCATTTTGGACATAAAATCTTTTTGTCAAAATACTTAAAAGCACACACTAAATGCTGTTTAATTTCTCTTTTCAAATGTCTCAGTTTTGCAATACAAGAGGTCAGGACAGTGCATTTATTAGATAACATGAAATGTCTTTGTAAATGTCTCGCTGATGTTTTTTTATATGCAATTAAAATCCACAGGTGCTGGCTCATAAAGAAATGCATCCACAAAGCCCCTTTCAAAGTCACATTTACTGTTTCAAGGCTGCATTATTTGTGATTTATTGCCTGAGAAGAATCATGGGAAAAGACAGAGTGGGCTTACAGAAGAATACACTTAGATTCATCTTTTAATATGTTCCACATGTGGTATGAGAGGAATCCATCACCATAATAACACAATGAGATCAATCTGAAAAGTAGAGCTCAATGCAATTAAATTATTACAACCATGTTATGTTAATGAGACTTTAATGACTTCTTTTAGATGGAATTCACTACTTCCCAGCAGATTTCTGTCTAAAAGTTACTTTCAGCTCATTTTTCCCAAGCAGTATTCTTTGATGACATGTGGGTCTGAGTTTGAAGGATTAATTTCTAACCGTAATCATGGCTATAGCTTCGAAACCATTTATTGTAACCAGAGCAGAATGTGCAGCGCTACCACAGGAATACATTTTTGTCATCTCCTCTCCACAGACAGAGAACAACTTAATGGAGATGTGGAATAAAACGGGGCATCAGGGAAACAAGTGGAACCGAGCAGAAGTCCCACTGAGGAAGCTCAGGAACTTCGAGGTGATATTTGAGGGAATCCGCTCCTTTGACGTGAGCGGAGGAGCCGCACTGGACGACCTGGAGTTTATCGACTGTGCTCCAAGTAGGTTTAAGACATTTCCATTAGATATGACAATAAAATCCATCAAATATGTAGAACTTGATGATAATCTGTGTTTGTTATAGTACCTAAGCATTTGGGTTTTCTGAAGATACAAAAGATTAAACATAAAATCAAGGTCAAAGTCAAGGTCAAGGTTTTTTATTGACATTTGCATCACATGTGGTACATGAGGTTGAACAAAATTGTGTACAAAGGGTCCCAGTTACATCCATTAATAGCAAAAATATAAAGTGTAAAAAGAAACAGTAATAAAGATCTAAGATATAAACTAGGATATACGCTAAACAATCGCCAAACGGTATGCTAAAAGATCTAAGATCTACGCTAGTCAATGATAGCGCAAAACAGGTGTGTTTGTTCTGTCTGAAATCCATGACCCGTTGCCTTTATTTTGCATTTATTTAATGGTCAAAACAGCTTCATTTCGCCTGGGCAGCACAGCGCCATCCATCCATCCATCCATCCATCCATCGCTGCCGGAGCCGTTAGCTCTCTAGTGGTCCTCCACCTGCACTAGCTGAGTAAAGCAAGGATGCATGAGAGGACTTGCTGTTCCAGTTCTTAGAAATTTAAAGTGTCTGCCGAAAATTGCATTATGAATATGGGAGGGAAAAAAAACGTGCGTAAGTTGCTTCAGCGTATAAGTCGCAGGACTGACAAATCTATGCCAAAAACTGTGACTTATATGCTGAAAAATACAGTAATCGTGTTTATGTCAACCTTTATCCTATTGAGGATGGTGTTCTTTTAATAATGACAGCAATCCATTTTGGTTTAGGACCAGCAGTTAGCTTGTTAGTCGGGTCAGAATCTAAACTGAGGTCATTCAAAACTCTTTATAACAGGTAAGAAATAGTTGTTCACAACATGAGTTCCTCCCCCTCCAAAAGATCTGATCTCTTTTCAAGTCCTTTTCATAACTTCATTATGTAAAATGGATCAAATGACATTAAACTTCTTTGTTGCCCTTTTTTATCCAAGTATTCCTTCACTAATCCTCCAAAGTAAGATGTAATTATGCTGTGAAATTATTTCCTGATCTTTCCAGCTGAAAGTTTGAGGTCTGGATTGTTTTTTCCGCATCTGGAAAACTCTGAGAAGCTCAACGCTGACATGAGCAGTGACAATCGCTGACAGATTCTGGTTGGTTTATGTCCAAACCAGATGCTTCAAATTAAAACAGGATCTGACACGAAGCTCAACAAAGTGCTGGATATTTCCCTGCTCCACCAAGGCCATCTCAATCTTAAGCTCACAGACACACAGACAGTGGGGGGGGGAATAAATCCGGACCTGATCACAAAGGAGACATGCATCAAAACACTGAGGAGTGTGCATGACCAACAAACACCATCCAAAATGACACAAAATCATGATCTCATTCAAATTTAAACTTGTGATAAATGGATTTTCAGTGTCCTTAGTCATAGTATAACCTCACTGATCTATTCAAATGAAATGTGAAGTTTGATTGTCATTAAAATCTCTGCTTTTACAGTTTATCCGTGCAGACAAATCAGCACATGCCGTGTTCAGTGTCTGATCAACACGGTATGCCCTCCTTCCTTTGTTTCTTAAACCAAAGACAAGAGGCTTTGATTTTCCTGGCAAGCCCATGTCTGGTTTTGTTGTCGTTGCCTCGGCTTATGTTTCATGCAGAGCACAGAAATGCTGCGGTTTCATAAGACACATTTGTTCCTTTCTTGTGAAAATTGGTCCGATCTTATGAGTCCTCAAATAGAATAACTGTTTAACACTCACATATGATTTACTGTAGGTGCTGTGGAGCCAGGGAATTGTCCTGCAGTCACAGACTTTGTGTGCCACAGCAGCGGCTGCATCGAGTCCCACCTGGTGTGCGATATCAAGGCCGACTGTGCTGATGAGTCGGATGAGATGGACTGCGGTGAGTTGAGATGAGAACGAGTCCATCCGAGCAGAAAACGACCTTCAACCGACATGTTTTAATCTTTTCTTTTATCCTTTTTTTTTTTTTTTTTTACAGAGCACATATTTGACTCACCAGGTGCTTGTGACTTCAACATGGAGGAGGAGAGCTGGGAGGAAAGCTGTCAGCTCTTCCAAGACTCTGACGATGACTTTGATTGGAGGATCGGATGCAAAACAGAGACACCCGGTGCTGGACCTCACACCGACCACAGTCCAGGTCTGAACATAATCCAGTTTCATTAACTTAAACACCGATGTTGAAAATCAAAGTTAGTTTTAGGACAGAATATGATTTCAGAACAACTATGTTAATTAAAGCTCTGGTTAAAGTAAAGTTAAAATTATTAACCTGGTTTAAATGTTTTGAAAACGTCAGAGACTTTTCCTGTGTGATGAAGAGCAAGCCGTTAAAATATCTGTCATCCCTGTTCAACGAGACCTCTGCTGGATCACAAGAAGCTTCCCTGCAAACATTTTACAATCCTTCCAACAGTCTTTATCTAAATTCACTCAAGCATTAAGTCACTTTTAAGGCAAATGATTTGTTTGTTGATTTGTTTTGGAAAGTCTTTCAGAACTTAGTTGGTGCCAAAAGATGTTCTTTCAAGCATTTTTTTATCTTCCACGTTTGACAAATGGTTTATTTTTAAAAGCAAAAAGCGTTCAAAAGTAAATCTGTTTCAGTGATTTTAGAGAAGTCAGTTAATTCCCAGTGTGTTGTTGACAAAAATGTTCATGCAATAGACTAATAACATTTCAGAGCTTAAAGATCCATATTTATCTGAGTCCTTCTCCCTCTCACTAGTAAAATATTGAGCAAGCAGCCGTCACACCTATCATTTAAAATCAATACCAGCAGGAGGGGTCTCACAGCAAACCAGTTAACTTATAAAATGTTTGCAGAAAAACACATTTGTTTTCTTATTTCATGATAATTAGGTACTTTTACTTAGCTTAACATAAACATATGTTTGTATATCCTACCTCTGGTGTCTTTACCATCCACCCATTCCTTGTTGTTGCTGTTGTGTAAGATTATTTTTCACAGGAAAATAGCCCTCCACCAGAAAATAAGCATAGTAAAATATTAATAGTGCTGTCAGAAAAAATAATTTCTCAAATTTAAGAATAAGCTGCCTCTGCATCCCTCTGACATCCTTTGTTTTCAGCTCGTTGCAGAGTGTTTGTAGTCGCACAGGAACTTCAGAAGGACGAGTGAATCCAGGGTTAATAAAAACATCCTGATAAATGTCAGCTTGATTTAGAATGAGCTTAACACCCTGGGCTTGTTTATGCTGTGTGCAGGAATGTTAATGTATAAATGTAATAAAATTGCATTGTAATGCATTTTTTTAGAGATGCACAATATTGGATTTTTGACTGATACCCAATATGCCTATAGGTTTAAAACTATTTGGCTGATAACCAATACATATCTTGATTTTTTTTTTCCCCTAGACGTACTTACAGAGTCTACATGGCTTTCTCTGCTGTGGAATTAAAATACTACATTATTCTGCATGATCTTTGTCAATTTGGCCTGCTGCCAAATGCAGATGCCAAAAAGGTCACTGAAAATTATGTAACATTATCTGAATATATATTTTTAAATAACAGCGCTTTTTATATCGGTGAGTTATTTTGATGGAATGGCCGATATTTAACTTTATCGCTAATATCGGTCAATACCGATACCATTACGATAATATTGTGCATCCCTAATTTTTTCCCTTTAACAATAAAACAGTTACTGTTTCTTTAATCTTTGTAAAGAAATATGAACCTTTTCCATGTAAAAGCCTCCATGTTTATTGTCTATTATATGTATTTTATTTTATTCAGGGTTTTTTTTGTGTGATTTTGTTTTGTTTTTATTGGTTAAAAGTTACTTTTCAGGTAGAAAATTAGACAGATGTATTCAGAGCCAATGTTTGTAGCTATTTGACATTTTTTAAGTTTTAACCCTTATAGATTGTTGAATATTTAGAAGAATGACTAAAGTGTTCTTTGTTTATTTTATTATTTATTGGCTCAACAAGTCATTTCATAATGAAGAAATTAATTTGATGAGCTTTTTGCTGGAAATTGCGATGCAAAAATCAATGTTGTGGGCCAGAAGACTGAATCATTTTAAGTTATAACTGTATTTTCACTGGACATGTAAAGTCACTATAAATAAGTTGCACCTTTATACTCAACTGACTATAAGCTGTATTTCTTCATGGGTGATGTTGCACCTGTCCTTTTTAAAATGGAGCCGTAACTCCTTCTTGTATTGGTTGTCAGTGTGGCCACTTCTTATTGGCTCGTTGAGTTTATTGATCCAATAGATGAATGTGGTCATTCAGTCCTGTATGGACATATGATCCTTTTACAGAACAGATCGACAAACTTGACCATCTGTAACAAAACAAACAAGCACACACACAGACAAATACTCTGTAGTTACATTATCGAATGGTTTCAACACGATCGCTCAACTCAACAGTATTTACTGTTCATGAATAAATGCAAAGACTCTTTACATTTGTTTGTTTTGAAGAAGAATCCTGTGTTGTGGGTGGGAGCAGGGTTTGTTGTGGGCTGTGGATTGGGATAATTCCTCCTAACTCATGTGGAAAACTCCCACTTTGTTCTGGTTTTGCACAGATGCCGTTTCATCTTCGAGTCTAGCCAAGCTGAAGAGGCATTGGCTGCAGGCTTCACCGTTTCACAACAATCCTTTTCTGTCCAAATTTGATGTAGTTTGGAAGCAGCAGAGGAGTTATTGGATTTCTTTCCTGCAGTGAAGCTGAGAATAGATGGCTGGGCTGTGGATTTTTTAAATATACTGTATATTACAGCTTCATTGCAGTGAAATGTTGCAGTCATATCACACATAAACCGTTTATACTACATTTATCTCCAAAGGCGGTGGGGGGAACTTCCTGTACATACATTCGGCCCCTCAGAGGGAAGGTGATGTTGCCAAGGTGACAACCAGAAATCCATTTCCTGCCAGCATTGGTCTGTGTCACCTGCGCTTTTGGTTCTTCATGCACGGCTCTGACAGGATGGGAACACTAAAGGTGATTGAATCTCAGCCTGGTTTACAGAAATTATCAAGAAAAGCTTATTTCCTTTTTAAAATCGTCCATGATGCCTTTGGTTAGGTTTTGCTTTTTCTGTCATTTACTATCAAATGAACCATCAAAGCCAACCTGAGGCCTTAATTAGGATTTGTCAGAATTTTATGTCCTGTTTCACTCAACCCGTTGCGCAATGCTGTCAATCAGCAAATACCCACAGGAGGCTATGAAAGCATCCCCATCTGCAAATAAATCATCAAAGCAGTTCACCTTACAGACTTCAATATCATACATATCTATTTATTTTTTATTATGTCGCTTAATTTTATTTTTGGAGGTGGTTAATTAATTTTAACTTAACAAACACAAAGTGCATGCTAAAAAAAATATTTGACAGGTGGCACTCCTAAATCTGTTTGAATATGGGTAAAAATAATTTTAATCATCCCTCCACAAATGGATTTGTCCTAAAGAGTGCTGCAAGTGGCTGAAAATGAGCTAAATTAAGATCAGAAACTTAAAGGAAGAATCAAACATTTTTAAGTGGTGTTATGTGGAGTTGTCAGCGATCAGTATCTTACCTGCAGCAGAAATCTTTCAAGGCGTGATCAGTTTGGGATAGCAGAAATGAGCTAAGAGCTATTCAGTACTTGGCCGGTCTTTGATTGTTTACACTGAAAACTGAGCTGAAACTACTGATAACTGCACAGAACAACTGTCAAAACTCAAACTGTTTCTTTGCCACAGAAAGATGAGCTGAGCTGCAGGTTTTAACACTGAAACCTCTTCACCGCACCTGCATGCTGCACCAACCAATTTGTCAAAATTAAATTTCTACATGCAACACTGTTTTTGTCATTGTTTTTACGTACATAAGTAAAGATTGGCACTATTCAAATTAAAATATAAACACTCTAAAAGTGTTAATACAAAGATAAATGACATGTTTTTCAACCGCCCAATACTTTGGTGCAGTGGTTCCCAACCCTGGTCCTCGAGGAACACTACCCTGCATGGTTTCCTTACTCCATCACACATGATTCAGTGATTTATTTACATCCTCAAGTTCTGAGGAATCCCCCATTCATTCAAATCAGGTGTGTCAAAGCAGGAAATCAACTAAAACGTGCAGGATGGTGTTCCTCAAGGACTATGGTTGGGAACCATAGGTTTTTACATGTAATGTATATTTGAAGTGAGATTGTTAACAAAAAATGGTACACATTGAAATGGTGTAGAGGCAGGGCAGCTGACTCGGGACCCGTGGTGTCTCTGAGCAGGACACCTTATCCCCAGTTCCTCCCCAGGCGCTTTCCATAGCTGCCCACTGCTCCACCTGGTGGTAGATAGGTTAAAAGCAGAGAGCTAATTTTGCCATTGTATGGGAACATACAATGATGACAACACATAACACATTATTATTATTATTATTATTATTATTATTATTATTATTATTATTATTAACAGTTGCCTGTGTCTTGAGAGGCTAATTGCATGAAAATGCATTTGATTGCCCCAAGTAATAATAAAGAAAAACACACATAAAAGACAGCATTGCCTAATAAGAGAGGCATAATAAGATAGCACTGTTTTGTAAAACATAAAAATCATTTTCAATCAGGAAACTGACCTGAACACTGACTTTGACTGAAATAACTAAAAAAAAATAGAGGCAGGAAACTTCAAAGATGTAAACAAATGCACTTTCAAATTTATATTCATGCAGATTGAGTATTTTATTGTTATGCTTTTATTTAAGAAAAAGATCTAAGCACTCCTTCCACCTTTGATAAAGAAGCCGTTATCTTTTATTGGGTTTGTTGATAAACTGCTTGTTTACTCAAGTGGTGTAATAAACTTGTTTAAACCCATTAGGTCTACACTGTTGGACCCAGCGGCACGCGTTTGCTGATGTGGGCATCTGCTGGAAACCATGGCAACCGGTGGGCATACGCCAACGTCATCCTGTCAAACACGGCGCCGTTCAGAGTGACCTTTCAGGCGGAGGTGGGAGGAGACATGTGGACAGACATCGCCCTGGACGACATCTCATATACAGCAGAGTGTATGGTTGGAGGTAAACGTTTATTTATTTGTCTTATTTTTATTGTGCTTCTCTTATTCTCTACTTGTAGCACTATCGTCGTTTATCATTTCACTGCTCCCAGTCTTCTCCTGCTTTCTTTTTTTTTCCTCTCTGCAACGTTTGATGTGCTGCAATATCCCCTGCCTCACTTAAGTTTCCTCATAAACAAGCCGGACCCTCGGGGAGAGGGTAGAAAGTTAATGGAGCCTGTTGCCCTTTGGATTCGTATAAATTCACTGTGAAGACTGGGTCAGCGCTGAGGAATAGCACGCGCGGCGTAAAAGCAATTAAATTTAGACTGTGTTGTTTCCTCACTTTCGACCCTGAACCACTCTTTAACTTTTCTTAGTGAATTCAAAAATGTTGGTTTTGTTTTAAAAAAAATTGTTTGATATCACTTAGAAAAGTTTTGTGTGGACCTCAGGACCCGTTACTCCACAGCCCCTGACCTGTGGCGTGGACCAGTTCCAGTGTCGGTATTCCTTCCAGTGCATCCCAAAGAGCTGGTGGTGTGATGAAGAGCCGGACTGTACAGATCATTCTGATGAAGAGCACTGCCCGACTGCGTTACCTGGAACTCTTCCACCACAGGGTCGCTGTCCTGTGGGTCATTATCAGTGTTCAGACCATCAGTGCATCCCCTCCATACTGCGCTGCGATGGCGTCCTCGACTGCCCCGACGGAGAGGATGAACACGGCTGCCGTAAGTTGTATATTTGATTGAAAACCTCAGTACCAGTCTTAAGAGAAGGTTAACCAGTAAATGATTTTCCCTGTAATACTCCAGTCCTAAAATTCAAAGATTTATTTAAAAGAAGTTGTGAAGATGTTTATGACCATACTAAAGAAAGATGGAGGCTTTTTTCTAAAAACATGTTTTCAATTAATTTCAAGGTTCTTTACTGTCATTCACATCACATGTATGAGGTGGAACAAACTTATGTACTCAAGGTCCCAGTTACACGCAAAAATATAAAGTATAAAAAGAAACAATATATAAGGATCTAATATATACGCTAAACGATACGCTAAAAGATCTAAGATTTACACTAAACACTAATAATGTAAAATAATATGGTGTATTAAACAGCATGATTGAATTTAATTCAATTTAATGGATTTTCTTCAATTAAAAGGGAGTTTTACTCATAAATTAATTTATACTTTAATTAAAATGATATTAATAATCATGCATTTGATGCTACATGAAAAAAATCTCTTTCACGTTTATAGAAACAAGCACAAGGCTGGCGTGTGTTTCTGAAAATGTTTTTTTTTCCCAGCTGGGTTTGAAAATATGACCACATTTTTCTCAAGGGACGTTTACTTTGTATTCCATTCCTTTGGTCAGCAAGAGTTTTGAAATGGTTGCACTTTATTCTTCCCTTGAAACACAATTATGGTAGTACTTATTGGGGCGATAGATGGAAAAGTAAATAAAGACGGTTTTATAAATCAGGTGTGGAGACTGATAGTGTTGTTTCTGTTTCCCTTTGATCGTTCTCTTCATATTTCATCACCCTTTCTCCAGCTCTGCTACAGTGTGAGCCGGGGGAGCTCGTGTGTGAAAGTTTGCCTGGTTGTATCCCACTTCAGAAGCGATGCGATCACTCTACCGACTGTCTGCCATTCCACTCAGACGAGTCCAGCTGCCATGGTAACATGCTCCTTACATCACCCTGTCCTTTTTGCTATTAAACACCTCTATGACTTCCCGATGTGTCACGAGTTGACTGTGAAATTGTAATGACTTCTATATGTGCATGTTGAAGGCAAAATAGAGTGCATTAGCTGTGCATTTATTTTTCTTTTTTCTTGAGCTCTCCTCTTACTTCAAGGTTTTTATCTTTTATTCAGCTTCTTCAAAGGTTTGGATGTCAGACTTTTGTCATCCGGTTAAAATATTGCACCATCTTAGTTACTTTGTTCTGTCATGTGTCCACACGCTCATGTGACGCCACTTACTTTTGATTTAAGTGCTGTCAAAACTTCACTCATATCTGCACATTTCCAGCTGTCAATAACAGCTCTGCAGAGATTTTCTTTCAACTTGTTTAGTTCTTGAAACACGGCTTCCAGGTTCACATTAAGCAATTACTGCCAAGCTACACGCACTATAAGTTATCATGGGTTAAAAATATGTATGTAACAAATAAATGGGTAATGTCAGATGTATTATTCAGAATGAAAGGCAAATTGCAATTCTAAATACTATACTAGATGTCCGATTGGTCTTTTATCCATAGTTTGGCTTAAACTTGCAACAAAAGCAAATTATTTTTTCTTTCAGCATAAAATTTACACATCTTCCGAATCGTAAATTATTATGGATCTGGTCAGCTGGTCTCGCAACGCAATTAATAAAATTTTCTCGATGAGGAGACAGGTTGCAGGAGAACCCTCGTGCCCTGAAGGGAAACATGCAGCTGGATATGTCATGGATTCCTGGTGCGTGTGGAAGATGATATGCCTGATTGTATTGTCCGTTGAGGATGTAGAAGACACGTACATAATTGGATTTATGATAACGGGGATTTTGCTTTTTGGAGTCGGCAGATACCTTGGATATCATCTAATTAGTAAGACGTGGGCAACAGTTTTGGCAGTGGTAAAGCTACCTGCCTCATGTGAAAGATTAATCTGTGCTTTGAGCTCTCAGACTAATATGCTTTATAAGCTGAACCATAAGCTGGATGTGATTTCTGAGAATCGTGGGCCACTTGCAGCTTCTAGAACTCGCCGGCATGAAGGAATCGACCTTGGAGAGCCTAACGAGCACGGACCGGCAAAATGTCCACAAATCTGGCAGTTTGGATTTGCCATTGCGTGTACCAGCAGAACTGAAGGCAGACATGAACTCATTAGAGTTGGCCTGCCCAAAACAATTGTTGTTGATCTGAATCTGGCCTCCCCGCTGGCCTTGGAATGCCAACTTATCTCAGATTGCTCCTGATGGATATGTAAATTAAGATGCTCCGCTCTGCTCACCCACCCCGAGAACATCCGTGGACCCGTGTCAGAGTGGACCGGCTGAGAGACACTGTAACATTGTTATCAGGACTATGGAAACTATCTGGAAGTGTTCATGAACAATCTCGCCATCTTGCACCCCCCCCCCCCCCCAAAAAAAAGTATTATGTCTCTCTATGTGCTTTGTTGAGGTAGATTTTTTTTGCTACCTTACATTGTCCCCTGGGTCAAGGACACGGTGTGAGATATCTTTTTTTAATACCTTCTCTCTTCACATGTTCTTCCCCTCTTCTTATCTAAGAATTATGGCAGCACTTCTTGGAAACAGCAGCCCCGGTACACTTTGGGCTACCCCTTTAGATGTCTGTACGGAACATATTTTCACTGTACTTAACTGTGCAATGACAATAAAGTTGATTTTGATTCTGAAGAAGTGAAGCGACAGATGCAGTTGTTCTCTTCTTACAAAGTCCTGACACAGGTCAAGTTTTCACACGAGAATACAAAACCCTCTAAGAAGGAAAACTTTGTCCCCTTGAAATATATTTAAAAGCTAACAGAAGCAACAAGAAATATTCCCCATAAAAACAATAAAGTGCATTGTGTTGTATCACAGTGTATCAAATTGTAGTGCAAGTATAAGGAGTAGAACTGGTACACTTTTAAACATCAAAGACGTGTTTTACCATAGAACTGCTACTACAAGATTCACCGCTTTACTTACAGTACCTTTAAAAAAACAATGATTCCCTGATTTATGAATTGCTGAATTTCGCAGCATGACTGTATACTTCTGTTTTCTGCCATGTTTGGGATAAATAGACTCACCCAAGCACAGTAAGATCTAAGATGAAACATTTGAGGGTTTTATGTTTGTCTTTAACGAAACATTAATTGATTATTAATTCATTGTGCTTATGTTACAGAATGCCCACCGATGTATTGCCTGAATCATGGTTCATGCCTTACAGAGAGACATGGACCTGTTTGCGTGTAAGTTGACACAACCACATGTAGAATGATGCTCAAATCCCACTCTTTTAACAGACACAAAGATGAGAATAGTGTCTTACTACTCGCTTTGCCATTCTTTATTTCTCTTTGTGAGGCTGAAAACATGGAAATCCAATCAGTCTTGCTTCTTTACTTTAAAAACAGACACGCTCTGTGAAGCATGTTGAAATCTGCTAATCCCCCCGAGATTAAACATGGTGTTTCTGGCTTCATGTCGCCACCAGTAGAAAGTTTCCTGGGAATCTCTGATTCTACTGGTCAATATTGAAACATGGTGTCTACCACCACAGAAAAGCCCAGTATCTGATTAATCTGCTTGTGTTTTTGTTTCTGCCATTCAAAGAAATAAGTTTGAGAATGATCCTGAGCTTGACTGGTGAAGAGTTGTTGTTTTTTATATATATATAT